TTGCTGATCTTATTTTCTAGTCTAACCTTCCATTTTTCTGGTGCACTGTTTGTTTGTTTTTCTTTTTTGTTGATTTTGCATCCCAGGTATTCTGTTATAACTGCAGCTGTGCTGTACATTAGTTGGTTTGTTTCTTGCAGTGAATTGGTGCTTATACTTGATATTGCAGTATTTGCATCTTTTAATGCTTGTGCTAGCTGTTTCTTTGGAACAAGCTTCAATGCAGGTAGCCTTATTCTGTTGTTTTTGTGCTGTTCTAGATGCTCAGTTATTCTTTGTTTCAATTCTTTTATTTCTTTAGTTAGAGGGTTTTGTTCTTCCTGAGGAAGAGGTGCCTGGTTTCCAACAGTTGTATATCTCTGCTGGAACTGCCACTCCCCCTGGTTTGCCTCTACATTCTGAATTACTTCTTTGATTTCTTTGCCCTGGGTAAACCTTTGCAGTTCGTCCAATTCTGTTTCTGAATACTTTATTTCGTGTTATAAATCGGCGTTGATCTGCTAGTCTCTGTTCTGTTATTTCTGATTCTGTTGTTCTTTGAACTGGTGCATTCGTTTTAGATATCCTCTTCTTGTTGGACTTGATCTGTGTAACAGATCATTATTTCTTTGTTTTCCATCACTGTGTATCTGCGACGGGTAAACACCTTTTCTTCCAGTAGTTCTGCAGCTGCTGGCCCTGGTTGCTCAGCCAACAGTCCTGAGTCCTGTAACCCATTTTTCACCAGATATCCAGGAACTCCAATATCTAGCGTGGACCTTGTTAACCTGGCCGACGTCCGAGCTGGTATGGCATTCTGCAATTTACGTCTCATCATATTTTTTATGGGAGAGACACTCTTTGTCTGACTCCTCTGATGAAACCTGTCCAGTATGGTTGAACCTCTGGCATAGCTCTCATCTTCTTCAGAGTACACAAGCCCCACAACCACGTCAAGGTAGTGCCTCAGTGGGGGATTATTATTATTATTATTATTATTTCCAAGTAGCCTATAAACCTTATGATTCAATGATCCTTAGAAGAAATGGAGTTCATAATAGGTCAAAATTTATCTTCTGTAAAGCCTTACAAATATTTTTTCTCTACTCTGACATTATTGCTGTTTGTAGCCAGTGCCTTCTTGCCAGTTTAATCACATAACTCAGACTTTCCTGATGCATTGCAAGGCAGCCTATACATTCTTAATTAGTTTGATTCCCCAGATCTAGAGCCCAGCTAAAAAGAAGGTGGCTACTGCAGCAAATCTTTATCAGCATGGCTATTTTATGATTTGTGATTTATGATTTATGACCAACCAATATTTTTCTCCTGGATCAGATTCAGATTTCTTCTATTTCTGTTTGTGGCAGCTTGAAATATACATATTGTTAAATGTGTCTGGCTGTAACCCAATGTCTATGTTTCTTGGACAAAGGATGATGACGCCCTTTTTCAAGGTTCATGAAATCAATTTAGTTCCAGAGGAAGAGGTTATATGAGGTAAACTGAAGCCTGAATTTCTCTCCAAGGGACAAACTGTCTTTCAGCTGACTTGAGATGCTGAAGAGCCACAGGCACTGAAGGTTAGTCTTGCTGAGAGCATAATCCATGGACAAAGTCTAAGAGAAATCCATATTTCAAAGCACATTGAATTAATCCCTCAGTGTATTAAACTGAGAAGCTAGAGAATGGACATGGTTCCTGCAACCTGAAGTGAAATCTTTTAAACCCTACTATTAGCAGTTTTTACTAATGAAAAGTTTGCTTTAGTTTTCCTCAGAGAGGCTATTCCACACCTAGCAGGTGACTAGCATCTGAGACTCCTTAGGACTGGATAGGGAGCTGAACTCCTTCAGAAAAGCAGTAGAGTAATATCTACATCCCTAAGATGCAGATGCAACATGATTTCCTCAAAGGTTAAGGACCACCATTGTCATAATGAGATCCAAGATTTATAAATTGTTGGCTATGAATCCTTAAAATTACAGACTCTGTAGAGAAATCTGGAAACAGATGTCTCGTATATGCATGCGCGCGCACACACACACACACACATGTGCGCGTACACACACACAGAGAGTCACAGAGGGCTGCTATGAATGAATGACTCATGTCCTGATCACATAATGATTAAATACATGTCATTTTTATTTCATCAATTAACTCATCATTATTTCATTGATTTGTTGAATTTATATTTTGCCTTTTGTAGAAAAGTTCAGTATGGTGAAGAAAGGAAGGATGGATGGATGGAAGGAAGGAAGGAAGGAAGGAAGGAAGGAAGGAAGGAAGGAAGGAAGGAAGGAAGGAAGGAAGGAAAACTATGACAACACCTTGTAAACTTGGCTGATCAACAGGATTCAACTTGAACAGAAAATAGGTGGGAGATAACAAGGAATCCAAAGACTGGAAAGTTGAAAAAAATATCCTAGAAGAAAACAGTGACAAAACATTTCTATATTGTTGCCAAGAAAGCTACATACTTAACTCAAATAAGTTTTTATTTTTCTTTATGTTAATTATAAATTCAGGTGTTTTTTTGCTATAATTCAGAAAGCCCTGAATCAATATAATATAAAGTACAGACTTTCCCATCCAGTTTTGAAACTACTACGAATTATCCATAAGCAACTTGGAAAATACAGTTTTGCAATATTATGAACTATATAACTGCATCATTTAGTTCATGATGTCCCTATGGATTACCCCTTAATTGCAAAATGCCTTAAGTGAATGCTCTAATGCACAGAGAGGTGTCTATGGGTGTGTGTCAAAAGAGTCAACAGGATGGGGACAGCCACACAATCAAACCCCTTTTTCATGTGTATTGTACATGAGCAACACATGTTTAAAAAGGGGGGCTTCAGTCACAAATCACAACCATCATCTTGATTTTTTTGCACCTTCACCCATGGAAAATTCTATATGCAGAGTAACCATTGGTCAAGCATAACAGGAGCATTCTCAGACATTACTCAAATTTGAAGTAATCTGTTCCTACCTGGCCAGATTTTATCTATGACACCCTACTGTAATTATTTCATAATTCACAGAATAGGAACTCCATCAGATATACGTGTACAAATACCTTTCAAAGGATTGGAGGCCTGATCTGTTACTGTCTGCCCACTTAGTAGAGTAATAGGAACTATTTATAATTTTGCTAATTTTGTCACAGTGCATCTGCTGAGAGTCAATGTGGGCCTTCTCAATTTCTTCCTGCACAAATACTGTAGTCACAGGTGCTGTTTAGACTAATGAGAATTACATCAATATAGATCAGGCAGACCCAGTGATTTCTAAGCCAAAACAACATATGACTTTTTACAGATTATGTAAGGTGAATATGCTGTCTCCAATTGGTTAATTTTTCAGAGTACAAATAGAAATTGAAATGCACTTAATACTCCCTCCTAATAAGAATGCTTTATTATAATGAAACATCCATATACACTTGGCATGAGGAACTGAATTATGGATTTTTAAAATTCCTATATGGTCATTTTACAATATGAAGAAAAAAAATCAATAGGCAAGATTCTAACATAAGAATTTCATACATTAAATGACAATTAGGCACAATAGAGGTACTTTATATCATGTGGTATTTCTACTTACAACTTCAGTTTATGATATTTGCAGCTTGGCATAGCTCTGAATTAATTCAGAATTCTGGGAGAAAACAATTTCCACACATATTCTTAGCTTGTCTTAAATTTTCAGTCTTTCTTATCATCTCTGATAGCCTACAGCATAATAAAGCCTGTAAAAATGAATTTTAGTATTTTAATGGAATAGCTAATTAGTAACACCTCTTTTTTCATGAAAAACAATTACAATTATAGACCAATGAACTGATGCATAATGAGGCTGTGCAAAGCTTCAAAGAGATGCTTTAATTTAACAAATTCATTGAAACAGATTCCCAGACTGAAATAGAAATCTGCTTAAAAGCAGCAAATGAAACCGGAAGGCTTCAAAACACTTTGTAGTCTTTTGCAGTGTCACCAATGACTTTTTGGCTGTTTCGGGGTTGCTTACAGATGATATTCAGTGTTGCATCTATGGAGAATGTGGAGTGAACTATTTAACACTGACATAGTGGACTGGTGAGTTTTAGCTTCTAAGATGCCCTACGTATCATTTTGGGAGAGTAATAAGGCTCACATGTTTTGGAGCTTTGCTCAGTTTCACAGCTTCCAGCTTTTTGAATGTAGTCAGGTACATGTCTTAATTTTGCTCTCTTCTGTGTTCATTCCATGTCACACTTCTCTGTTGATTCAACTCTCCATAGTTTGAATTGTACAGGACTGAGGCAGGTTTAAGTCTCCTGACAATGAGTGAATGGATCCCAGACTAACACTAACACAGCACTGGCTAAAACATTTAGTACTCTCGAAATAGATGTGACAAGGCTACAAATTTATTTATTTATCAAATTTATTTACTACCCCATCTCACCATTCACTTTTTCTTTGCCAGCCATTTTGTAGTTGGTGAGTTATTTCATGGTGTCTGCATGTTGCTTCTACCAACCTCAACCTTGACATAAGCAAATAATAAATTGGTCTACTCAAGGAAGAGCCAGGCTTATCATCTAGCTATGCCAACCCTCCCAGTATCCCAGAAAACTCCATAATAGTAACAGTATAACAGAGTTGGAAGAGACCTTGGAGGTCTTCTAGGTCTTCTGCTCAGGCAGGAGAACCTATACTAGGCTGAACAAATAGCTCAGGTGATAGGCGAGGGCTTTCTTTTTATATGAAAGTAGGGGAAGCAGATATAGCAGAGAGAAATGAGGAAAAGAGTTTGTAGCAGGAGAGACAGAGGGAAGGGTGGGGGTGGGGGTCAGAAAAGAGAGGCAAAGAAAAAGGTTGGGAGAAGAGCTTGAAGAAGAATTTTCAGTTTTATATTTCCCATCACAATACAGTAGTACAGTGATGGCGAACCTTTTAGAGACCGAGTGCCGAAAAACTGGCCCCGCCCTCACCCTCTGCCCTGCCCCTTTCCTTCCCTCGTACTTGTATGCTGGGAGGGGGACCCTGCAGAACGCAGCCACGAGGCCATCCTGCTGAGCAGCTGATCGATGCAGAGAAACGGTGGGGAGTTGAGATCCTGCCTCGCTTCCTTGCCTTGCTGCCATACCGGCGCTCACACCAGATGCTGGCTAGGTGGGTAGGGGATGGGGCCGGCTGGGAGGCGTCTATTTAGAGTGCTGGGAGGCGGTTGCTCCCAGTGCTGACTTTGTTTGTTTGCTGTCTGATTGACTACTGCATGCCAGAGCGTTCCAGAAATAAACTGACCACCTGTGAACTCAACGGCTTGTGTCTTGCTGGAGCCAGGGGTGGCAAGGACCTCTGACAGTAAGATGAATAGTTACACTTTTGACTTCTTTCATTCTTTGTTCCTAACCTTTTCCTTTCCAGTTTTGAAACTCTAGGAACAGAGCAGTTCTTTGAGCAGCTAATAAGAAAGCAAAAACTCAACATACTCTCAGATTTTAAGAGGTCTGCATCCTTAATCAGAAAGAGCAAATTGGGAGAACTTACTGAAAACAAATATATGATTGTTCTTTAATACCACACCAAGCCCAGAAAATAAAGTGGAAAAGTAAGACCATATCTTTGAAGCAATTCTTGAAATCCATTCAGTTTTTGTTGCACAATATGAAAATTGCCACCTTGCCTCTTCCTGATATCTCTGCCATCTAAGCCAGTGATGGCAAACCTTTTAGAGACTGAGTGCCCAAACTGCAACCCAAAACCCACTTATTTATTGTCAGGTGCCAGGTGGGCATGGCTCACTGGGTGGATGTGACCTGTGGTGGTCATGGCAGAATGGGTGGGTGTGGCCAAGGTGGACATGGTCACCTCGATGTTCCTCATGGGCAGGGACTCCTGTGGGGGCCAGACAGGGTTGGGGAGATCCAGGGGGTCTCTGGTGGGTGGGACAGTGGGCAGGAGGCTCGTCCTTCGAGATGAGGGGAGGCGAGGCAGGGTGGGGTTGCCATTGTCACAGGGCAAGGCGATGCAGGGGCCAGGGTGGCTGCTGCGTGACACCATCGGCCCCCGCACATAGAGGCCAGTGAGCGCATGGGGGCCGATAGTGTCTGTCAGCAGCCACTGCCTGCTGGCCTCTCAACCGGCGCACTCTGGGGCTCTGCAGCCCACTGCCAGCAGTTCAGAGAAGCCGCCTCTGAGCTCAATGGCTGGCTGACAGCTGAGGAGGTGATGCAGTGGGTCATGCCCAGGAAAAGGAGAGCATGCAAGGCCAGGAGGGACGGGACGGGGGGGAGGGAAACCAGCCATGCTGGGATTCATCGGCCATGTGGGACCTCGGTGAATTAGTGGGTGGCTGCTTGAAGAGGGATGGTTGCCATCTCCGCGGCATAGTGCGCATGCCCACAGAGAGGGCTCTGAGTGCCGCCTCTGGCACGCATGCCATAGGTTCGCCACCAATGGCATATGTGAATCAGATTAGGCTGAAAATGAGGGAGTTTAACCTGGGTTTCCAAAGTCCTAGTCTCACATCATAACCGCTACTCCAGTTCTCTGACTGATATTAAACATGTAGCTAGTTCATTAGGTGTCTTAGTTGGACTGAAGGTCCAGTCAATACATCAACAATTGTATACCATCTCAACCTGTCCATAGCAATCATTTGTAGGTCTTCCAAAAGAAAATTTCAGTACTTTGTTCCATCATGCTTATCCATTAATTTCTGTTTCTTTTATTTCCCTCAAATCTGGTAAGCGTAATTGTGATTTTTTTTCCTAGTCTATTATCCATTCATATCATGTGCTCCAAAAGGATAGAATATTACTAATGGGTGGAATGAAAACATTGGAAAAAATGGAGAATCCTGGAAATACAGGGAGATTTTGATTGCGTAAAAGCAGGAAACAAGTTAATAGAGTTTTACCAAGATCGTTACTATCAACATCTGCTCAGTTACGTATCCACATTTTTCACAAAGGATGGATGATATCAGAATCAAGATTATACTTTATAAATGCATAGAAAAATGCAATCCAGTCAGTTAAGATGTTTGCTTGTTGACTGATTTAGAAAATGTATATGGCTGCCCAATTCCAAAGAAAACATTGTGAGGGAACTGCTGTCTTGAGAACTGTTCAGATGGAGAAGCTTGAACTACTAGGAAAAGAGGTGGAAAGCTTGAAGTGGAAGCTTTATCGTCATGAACTACTTGCCATCACAAAAGACATCTTATTAAACATTTTTCAGTGGCACCAAACCACTGCTGAAGCTTCAAGCTGGTTTTAATCATAATTTCCCATACTAACAATCTAGTACACATTGGGGAGGAACCTGGGAATGATACAGTCAGGACCAACAATCTGCCTAGCTTTCATTTCCACCAGAAATCCATTAAGAAAGGAACATGCCTCCCTATTCAGTTGTTATGAATTGCCACTCTCAAATGTCATTTTGGCTTGAGGGTTTGAGGGAGCCTGAACAGCTGGAATCCATGTTTTTCTTTTGTTTTGCACTATTACTTTTCTAGAATATTAATAATCCATTGTGTGTGATTTGCTTTAAAGAATTTTGATTTTGAACTAAGGACACAAGACTCCAGAGTGGAAGCAAAAGAGGAGGGCTTGAGATTGGCTGGTTGCGTATGAAACAGAGCTTGCTTGCTTTATGGCCCAGGCTTCAATTATTTGAAAAGATCCCAGAAAACTACAAACCAAAGTACCCCTCTTGTGGGTGGAGGAGAAAGGTCAGAATTAAATGCATGAGGCTTCCGGTTCCGGTTCGTGGCGTCTCTAGTCATATTGAGAGACTTGTCTCCTCGTCGGCTAGCCTTCCCTCTGCCAGCAGACCCTTATGCGGGTCCAAAGTCGCCCTGGAGGGTGTGACTTCTGTCGAGGAGGCTCTGCTCAGCTGCAGAGGAGTGGCGGCTCCTTTAGCGGTCCGAGCTATCTCTGAGGGCCGACGGAGAAGATCGGCCAGTAAAATTGCCGATCACCCTGCTGCTTCAAACCGCAAGTCAAAAAACATCTAAGCTATAAGAACCCCTGTGGTGAATCCGGGTGAGACCTTTCTTTGTTATTCTATTCTACTTTGTATTCGGTACCTGAAAGAGCCTTGTTGGAATTACTTCCCCGGCTTGAAAAGGCAGCTTCTACATTTTTGGGGAAGAAAGGCGTTCTGTAAAAATAGAACAAAATTTTAAAGACTACATTTACTTTTATATTTTTTGGGGTACAGAAAAAAAATTTCTTTTCCTTTCCTCTTTTTCTAAGAACTGTACTATCATCCTATGCTGGAAGATTATTTCTTTTTCATATTATACTTTAAAAGATAGAAAAGGGAAAATGGTGTTTGGAAAAGACCTTTTTTAACTTACTGAGGACATCTAGTGGTAAAAATTTAATACTGCAACTTCTGGTTACTTGATTTGAAGATAGACGACCTTCAAAACACTTTGAAGAGGAAAGATAAGCTGCGTAACTGTGGGAACTGTGGGGGTGGATATTGCCTAAACTATATCAAATATAGCCTCCACAAAAAAGAAAAGAGAGACTCTTTTTAATCACTATCAAAATGGAGAAACCTCAGTCACAATTAAACTATACACGTATATTGGAAAAGATTTATGAGGCTACTGCAGAAATATGTGCTACAATGTAAAAGTTTACTACAGAACTAAGATCCAGAAATTTCACTTCAAATGTTCAAATGGATGTCCAGGCTACATCTGACTATGGTATAAATCAAAATATATTAGAAGAGGAATCAACAGAGATAAAATAGGAACTTATTCTATCTTACAAACCTTCCATAAGCAACTTTGAGGAACAGAAGAAGCAAAGACTGACATTTCAAACTACAAAGCAACGACACTTCAAGGAGGAGAGAAATAGACATCTAACGCAGAGAATGGGATTTCTATTATTTCAAAGGCTACTGCAAACAACAAAGATAGATCCACTGGTTGAAAGGGAAGCGTCCCTATGGAAACCTGTGTGGCACAGGAAAAAAGCCAGAATTAGACTGAAAAGAGAAATTTAAAATTGTGTTATGGATTAAAAGGCAATGTTGGATTTATGGTTTGTTTTAAGGATTATGATTTTAGAGTTAGAAGCAAGAAAAAATATATACATATATACATGAGGGCGATTTTTAGAATGGAAATTTTAAATACTGTAGATTAAGAATACTTTTTGGAATAATAGATATATTTTGACGAAAATTATGTATTGGAATTGAAAAAATGTTGATTTTTTTAGATTGGGATGGTTTTAATAATTAATGGAGTGTTTTAACTTAGTTAGATGATTTTTTTGTACAATAACATAGATGTGATAAGGTATGACAATCAATTGGATGAAATTTGAAGTTTGTGTAATGAATTGAAGTGAATTAAGGTTTAACATTATCTTTTAACTAAGATAGCTATTTTGTAATGGAAAAAGAAATAAATGAGATTGGTGATAAAAGGAGGGATGAGAGAAATTAAGAATTAGAATACATCTGGAAGGGATACCTGAATTGATAACGTTGATTTAAAATTAAATTTGATTTTGGTAATTGTAAACTGATAAAGTTTTAAAACAGATTTAGTAGTAATAGAAATTTAATTTAGAAATGGAATATTTTAAATGTATTATGTTATTTGAGGGAAATAGAGGAGACAGTGAATGTATTAAGCTGAGTTGTTCATTTATGTTTTTACTTCTGAATGTCTGATTACCCAAACACCACGGTGTGTCCTGAGTACTTTTCCTTAAAAATTAAAAAACCAATAAAATATTTTTTTTAAAAAAAAGAATTAAATGCATGAAATTTTCTGCCAGCCAAAGCAGCAAATCAGAGTGCCTTGCAAGGCAAGGGCAGAAGGGACATTCCCCACTGTTAATAAGAACCAGTTTGCTGTGGATGCTGAATGTACAATGAGCCTTTGGCCATTTTTGCTTTTTAATATAATAGGGATAGTTGACTACTGTTTCTACATTGTTGGAGGATTAGCTAGTTTGCCTTTAATGAAACCAGTAAAAAAAACAAAGAACCTCCAGGCATTACAAGGGAGGATCTATAGATCTGTCAGTTTTCATTCAGAAGACAGAGAAATCAATGATCCTAAACCTCTAAAAAAAATAAGGTTGCTTTTCAAGAGGACTGGCTTAACAAACAACCACAATGACCATCTCAGCTATGGATGAGAAGAAGATTTTTTTCTTTTTTTGTCTCTTCCCCACCCTATCTTTAAATCTGGTTTGAAATACTTTAGGTCATCAAACCCTACACAAGGAGATAGTTCCCTCCCTTATTTG